CGCCCTCCCTGCGTGGCCCAGGGCAGCCGCCCGCCCCGTGGACGCTGACCTCTGCCCCGCCCCGTGGACCCTGACCTCTGCCCCGCCCCATGGACCCTGACCTCTGCCCCGCCCCGTGGACGCTGACCTCTGCTCCGCCCCGTGGGCACTGACCTCTGCCCCGCCCCGTGGACGCTGACCTCTGCCCCACCCCGTGGGCACTGACCTCTGCCCCGCCCCGTGGACGCTCACCTCTGCCCCATGGACGCTGACCTCTGCCCCGCCCCGTGGACCCTGACCTCTGCCCCATGGAGGCTGACCTCTGCCCCGCCCCATGGACCCTGACCTCTGCCCCGCCCCGTGGACGCTGACCTCTGCCCCGCCCCGTGGACCCTGACCTCTGCCCCGCCCCGTGGACGCTGACCTCTGCCCCGCCCCGTGGACGCTGACCTCTGCCCCACCCCGTGGACGCTGACCTCTGCCCCGCCCCATGGACGCTGACCTCTGCCCCGCCCCGTGGACCCTGACCTCTGCCCCGCCCCGTGGACGCTGACCTCTGCTCCGCCCCGTGGGCACTGACCTCTGCCCCGCCCCGTGGACGCTGACCTCTGCCCCGCCCCGTGGGCACTGACCTCTGCCCCGCCCCGTGGACGCTCACCTCTGCCCCATGGACGCTGACCTCTGCCCCGCCCCGTGGACCCTGACCTCTGCCCCGCCCCATGGACGCTGACCTCTGCCCCGCCCCGTGGACGCTGACCTCTGCCCCGCCCCGTGGACACTGACCTCTGCCCCGCCCCGTGGACGCTGACCTCTGCCCCGCCCCGTGGACGCTGACCTCTGCCCCGCCCCGTGGACCCTGACCTCTGCCCCGCCCCTTGGACGCTGACCTCTGCCCCGCCCCGTGGACGCTGACCTCTGCCCCGCCCCGTGGACGCTCACCTCTGCCCCGTGGACACTGACCTCTGCCCCACCCCGTGGACACTGACCTCTGCCCCGCCCCGTGGACGCTGACCTCTGCCCCGCCCCGTGGACGCTGACCTCTGCCCCGCCCCGTGGACGCTGACCTCTGCCCCGCCCCGTGGACGCTCACCTCTGCCCCGTGGACACTGACCTCTGCCCCGCCCCGTGGACACTGACCTCTGCCCCGCCCCGTGGACGCTGACCTCTGCCGCGCCCCGTGGACGCTGACCTCTGCCCCGCCCCGTGGGCGCTGACCTCTGCCCCGCCCCGTGGGCGCTGACCTCTGCCCCGCCCCGTGGGCGCTGACCTCTGCCCCGCCCCGTGGGCGCTGACCTCTGCCCCGCCCCGTGGGCGCTGACCTCTGCCCCGCCCCGTGGACGCTGACCTCTGCCCCGCCCCGTGGACGCTGACCTCTGCCCTGCCCCGTGGGCGCTCACCTCTGCCCCGCCCCATGGGCACTGACCTCTGCCCCGCCCCGTGGACGCTGACCTCTGCCCCGCCCCGTGGGCGCTGACCTCTGCCCCGTGGGCGCTGACCTCTGCCCCGCCCCGTGGGCGCTGACCTCTGCCCCGCCCCGTGGGCGCTGACCTCTGCCCCGCCCCGTGGGCGCTGACCTCTGCCCCGCCCCGTGGACGCTGACCTCTGCCCTGCCCCGTGGGCGCTCACCTCTGCCCCGCCCCATGGGCACTGACCTCTGCCCCGCCCCGTGGACGCTGACCTCTGCCCCGCCCCGTGGGCGCTGACCTCTGCCCCGTGGGCGCTGACCTCTGCCCCGCCCCGTGGGCGCTGACCTCTGCCCCGCCCCGTGGGCGCTGACCTCTGCCCCGCCCCGTGGGCGCTGACCTCTGCCCCGCCCCGTGGACGCTGACCTCTGCCCTGCCCCGTGGGCGCTGACCTCTGCCCCGCCCCGTGGGCGCTGACCTCTGCCCCGCCCCGTGGACGCTGACCTCTGCCCTGCCCCGTGGACGCTGACCTCTGCCCCACCCCGTGGGCGCTGACCTCTGCCCCGCCCCGTGGACGCTGACCTCTGCCCCGTGGACGCTGACCTCTGCCCCGCCCCGTGGACGCTGACCTCTGCCCCGCCCCGTGGACGCTGACCTCTGCCCTGCCCCGTGGGCGCTGACCTCTGCCCCGTAGGCGCTGACCTCTGCCCCGCCCCGTGGGCGCTGACCTCTGCCCCGCCCCGTGGGCGCTGACCTCTGCCCCGCCCCGTGGACGCTGACCTCTGCCCCGCCCCGTGGACGCTGACCTCTGCCCCGCCCCGTGGACGCTGACCTCTGCCCCGCCCCGTGGACGCTGACCTCTGCCCCGCCCCGTGGGCGCTGACCTCTGCCCCGCCCCGTGGGCGCTGACCTCTGCCCCGCGTTGGCCAAAGGCACGTGGGCGGAGGCACGATGCCCGTGCCCAGCAGAAGCCTCAGACACGAGGGCGGAGCTTCCTTCCCCTTCGGCAGGTCCTGCTGCCCGGACCCGAGATCGAAGCCCCCGGGGGTGGGGTGGGGTGGACGGGCCCCCAGCGGCTCCAGCCCCGCACGGCGGCGAGAGGCCGCCACAGACCTCTGGCCCCGCGGCCGCTCCCGGCCCCCCCTCCATCCCCGTCAGGGCCGCTCCTGCTCCGGCTCACGACGCTTCCATGTGGGTCCTGGATGCCTGACTGCCAGCCCGGAATGTTCTGTCTTCCGCTGACCCTCCCCCAGGATTTCCCGTGAGAGTCAGAGGGTTACAGAGCGGGAGGGAGGGAGGGAGAGAGGGAGGGAGGAGAGAGAAACATGGACGTGAGAGAGACAGGGATTGGTTGCCTCCCACACTCACTCTGACTGGAGCCAGGGCCAAACCTGCAACCCAGGCCCATGCCCTTGACCGGGAATTGAACCCGTGACCCTTCGGTGCATGGCTGACACCCTAACCACCTGGAGGTGTTCTTCCATTGACTTTCCGAGACAGTTGGGGGGACAGAGGGGGGGAAACATCGGTTGGTTGCCTCCTGAATGTGCCCCCATTGGCTGAGGATGGAACCCGCAAATCAGGCTGAGGACGTGCCCTTGACCTGGAATAGGACCTGCGACCCTCTGGTATGTGTGTGCGCGTGTGTGGCACTCCAACCACGGAGCCACCCGGGCCAGGGTGGCAGATTTGATCCGTAAAGCAGCAGGGAAGACATAACCGGAGGCCGTAGCTAAGAGCCGGAAACAGCCCGTGCTGTCCTGCTGGGACGTTCCCTCAGGTGTTCTTTGGGGGCCTCTGATCTACTGTGACATGACACAGGGAGGGTGTGTGTGGCAGAGCTGTCTGTGGAGCTCAGGACACCCAGGAGAGTATGTTTCAGGTAAGAACGGCTTTGTGGAGTACCTACTGTGTGCAGGCAGCGAGAGCACCTACTGTGTGGGCACTGAGCCCAAGGGCTGGCCTCCCTCCAGGTGGGGAAATGGCTCCTGGCAGACAGCAGGCAGGACTACCGAATACTCGCTGAGTGAATGGACATAAAACTGGCAGCAAATCCTGGCCAGTGTGGCTCCGTGGATAGAGCTTTGGCCTGTGGACTGAAGGGTCCCAGGTTTGACCCTGGCCAAGGGCATGGACCTCAGTTGCAGTCTCGGTCTTTGGCCATGGTCAGGGTGCATGGGCGAGGCAACCAATTGATGCGTCTCTGTCACATGGATGTTACCTCTGTCTCTCTCCCCCTCCCTTCCATTGTCTCTGAAAACCAATGGAAGAAAATAAACAAACCAAAAGAGATAAAAACAAATGGGAAAATGGTGAGGAGTAACCCAAATAATAGTAACAATAATAATAATCTTAACTACCGTGTTCCCCGAAAATAAGACATCCTCCGAAAATAAGACCTACTTACAGGTTTCCTTCTGAGTGAAATATAAGGCATCCTCCGAAAATAAGACCTACTTACAGTGAAATATAAGGCATCCTCCGAAAATAAGGCCCCCCCCCTAGGCTAAACATGAGAGATTTGGCCCACTGATTCTGAAAGAAATGGACTCACAAGAAATTCACCAGGAAATTCAGGAACTGAATTGTTATGATGATGTTTCAGAAGATAATGACATGATTGTCATTGAATAAATGAGTAAATTCTTGATACTGTAGGATTCACAGTTTGTCTGGTTTGTGTTGACAACTACCGTACTACCGTACCGTACACAGGTAATAAATGTCCTTTATTTTCATTTAACAATAAATGTGTACCGTGTTCTTCTTCATGGGAAAATAAGACATCCCCTGAAAATAAGACATAGCGCATCTTTGGGGCAAAAATTAATATAAGACACTGTCTTATTTTCAGGGAAATAGGGTAATAGACAAACATGTAAATTGACCGTACCTTCGCTACACCCACAGCCAATTAGAGTGAGTATGCAAGTTAGGAGGATAAAGATGTCGATCGCCCAGGTGCTCCAGGCGGAGTGGCCGGGCCGGCGGGCAGGGCAGGACGCCTGTATGAGGGAGGGTGGGGCGACGGGATCTCCAGGAGCGGCACTCCGGCCAGAGCGAGGCCTGGGTCCGGGAGCCGGAGGGAAACCGGTGCTGGAAGCCGAGGGGAGGGAGGCCTGTTGCAGGAATCTCTTCGTGCGCCGCCTCGGTATAACGATGATGATGACGATGACGATAAGGACACGCGAGCGCCTCGCGCACAGGCAGGTCCGGGGCGTTGGGATCACGTGCCGACCAGAGAGAACTTTATTGGGGTGCCGGCCCCACGAAGAACAGGAGGAACGTGACCCCGAGGAGCACCCGGAACCCGAGTCCGCGCTGTCCAGCGTCCTTCCCGATCTATGGATGGCCGGGCGGTGGGTCGGTTTTCACCGCTTCCGCTCTGATCCCCGGGCCGGTGCTTCCACTCCTCCGACCGCGCGATCCTCGGTCCGGGCGCCAGGAGGCAGCCAGGCGCCCGAAGAGTCCTCGGCCGAGTGTCCACCGGCAGGCTCGCCCAGGCTGGGGTTCGAGGCTCCGGACCTGGCCCAGCCTCTGAGTCCCGGCTGGGGTCCCGGCCTCGTCGCTGGCGCCCTCAGAGGCAGCGCTGAGAAGTGGGGGTGCCCCCCTCAGGGACTAGCTGGGGGCAGGCCCCACCCCGCCGGGGCCGAGGCCCCTGCCGTCCCCGGCCGCTGTGGGCCGCTCTCCGAAGCCTCGGCGACGACGCTCAGCTTGTCGAAGACGTCGCTCTCGTCCGCGGGCGGGAAGGGGAGGAACAGGAGCCGGCTGTGCGGGGGGCGGCTCAGGAACTGCAGGAGGGGAGAGCGTGACTGAGGGCCGGGCTCCGGCCGGAAGCCGGCTCTCCGTGTGCCCGTTAGCTACTCCTCCCCCAGGTGTTTTCCCACTGATCGTGGGGAGAGTGGGAGGGAGAGGGAGGGAGAGAGAAACATCGACGGGGAGGGACACTCCGATGGGCTGCCTCCTGCACCTGCCCCGCCAGGGCCTGAGCTGGCTCTGCAGAGGGAGGCCCAGCCTGCCGGCTGGGATTCTGCGATCGCGGGGTGATCGATCTGCGGGGTGATCGATCGCGGGGTGATCGATTGCGGAGTGATGGCGGGGACCCCCCTCCCCTCCCAGTTCCCATCCCCGCCCCCCCCCTCCCCCCGGCGGCCTGGTGCCAGTGTCTGTCAGCGTGGTCCTCCAGATGGTTCTTTTCTGTTCGGCCATTGGCCAATTTGCATATTACCTTTTATTATTAGATATTACAGATAGCTTGTTGTAGCAACATCATGTGACTCACTCGCCCTGACATGGCTGCACTGCCCCGGGGTGGCCCCAGGATCTGCTCGGGGGAGGAGGAGGGGAGGAGGAGGGGGACGGGGTGTGTCCCCATCTCCGGTGGGTAGAGGAGGAGCTGGGGAAAGAGGAACCTCCCTCGTCCTCAGGCCCAGGGGGTGCAGAGAATGGACCGGAAGCTGGTCGACTCTCCTGGAACAGGGGGAGGGACGAGGACGGGCCGTGCCCAGCTCAGCGCACCGTTAGGGGGCGCTGCTGGGGGGCCCGGAGCTGGTGGTGGCTCGGTGCATTCTGGGTGCATGCAGTTCACAGCCGCAATGCCTCCCGCCCCCCCGCAGCAACCCTGCCCAGCCCCGAGCATTCACGGGGGAGGGGGGTGCAGGGCGGGGGGGGGGCCCTCTCACTGCAGCCCGGCAGAGCGCCTGGGAGGAGCCATCCTCGGGGCCCTGGTCCAGCAGCCCTGGCTCCCCGCTGTCACAGGGCTGTCCAGCCCTGGGGGACGCAGAGCCACTTTGATGGTCACAGAGCCCCCCCCCCCCTTTCCTGTCTCTGACGAGAAGCCCGGAGCCAAAACAACCCCTGGCGTGGCTTCCTCCTGGTCCCTTCAGGAGGCGCCCTCCCCAGAGGCAGGGCCGCCCTGCTCTTCCTGCTGCAGACGGGCCTCACCCTTGGCCTCCAGAGACCCTCTCTCTAAAGTTACTCTGTTTAACCATCTTACTGCTTTTTAGAGAGAGGAGGTGGGGGGGAGAGAGAGCCATCCATGCTGAGAGAGCCGCTGCTCGGCTGCCTCCTGCCGGTCCCCACGGGCCGGAGCCCGCCAGCGGACGGTGACGCCCTGGCTCCCAGGCCAGTGCCCGCCTCCGAGCCTCACGGGTCCGGCCGGTGTCGGCGTTCCACGTGCTTGTTTTTAAGTGGCTGTGTGAACACCGACCTGAGATCTCCGTTTTGCCTCTGCACCTGCACAGCCTAACCTCTCTGCTTTCCGGCCCTTTAAGAGAATCTGCTGACCTCTGGCGGAGCGGGTTCCCCAGAAGACACAGCAGGGACCCCTGGGACCGGAGTCAGGCTGACCCTTCTCACGCCAGGAAGCCGGCCGGCCAGACCCGTGGCTCAGGTGGGGGGACAGCGCCTGGACGGCCTCTCCTCCCTTGGGCACGGCTGAGCACAGGCACTAGGCCGGACCAGGCCGGACCGGGCGGCGCCAGGCAGATGCCACGGCTGCGCTCCACGGGCGCACTCAGACTCACCGGCACCTCCTGGTGGCGCCCACCCAGCTCTGAAGGCAGGGCTCCCAGGCTGCGGCCACAGCCGGAAGGGCCCGTGGCCCGAGGTGCAGTCCGGGCCGAGCCGAGGGCCCGGTGCCCAGCCAGGCCAGCAGAGCCTGGCCCGGGCACAGGCTGTGGGAGGGTCTCGGAGTGGCAAGGCCAGGGGTGTGACTGGTACCACCAGCCGACCCGGGTAACCTCCCGGGAGCAGGCTGACCCTGCAGAAGAGGTTCGGAGACCCCGGCACAGGTGGCCGGAAGTGGGCGCTGAGGTGCAGCCCAACTCCCCCCGGGTGCCCGGAGCCTCGGGCCGCTGACACAGCTGAGCGGTCCCCTTGCCGGTCGCCCCCTCCTGGGCATGGCCACCCCCACCCCCGGGGAAGGTGGGGCTCACAGCTCCCTGGCCTCAGCGGGGGGCACCTCCAAAGAGCCGTCCCAGCTCCAGGGCCCCGGGCCGGCCGAGGCCGCTGCTCTGCCTGCAGCCCAGCCCCGTCCCCACACCTGCTGCCCCACACTCCCAGAGGCACTGCTCCCACGGGCACTCCCGCCGAGCCTTCTGGGCCCAACCTCGGGCCG